TCTAATCTATTAAAACAAAGTCCTGTTTTTTATCTACTAATAAAAGTTGTACTTAAAATTTTTGGACCCTTTCAAAAATGTTATAATCTAATTACACGCTACTTATATAAAGATCATCAGATATATTTAAAGTAAATCATCGACATATCAAACGCAAATTCGGTTATCTACTAAACCAAAATCTTATTAAATTAGATTGGACCTATTAGACCTGGTCAATACACGACTCTCATTATAGTTATTCTTCAATAATAACTCTATTTGGTCATCGTTGGTGTAGAAAATTGTGTTTGTTTCTCCTCAGTTTATGTTGATACATTTTTCATATATTAATGTCATGTCTTCCCTTCTTTATATGCATGCCATCCAAACCAAAATCAGCTTCTCTTCTGTTAGATTTACCTTCAATTAGCTTTCCATTATGAACACGAAAATTTCTAAATAGCAAAGTCAAATAAATATTAGATCCGGTTGACCTGTAAGTCACTTAGGTTTTTGGCTTTTGTTTTTCACAACATACGATTCATACAAATATATAAGATTAGCTATAACTTATAGTGTGCTGTATTTTTTAATTTGACTATTTAAAGGTATTCAATATATATCTAAATACATTAATTTATCCAGAATATTCTAACTAAGTTAAGATTCATTTGATCAAATCTAAACTAACATGTTAACTAAATAAAATTTCTTGTATATACTTAATTCGTTTTCATTTATTTTACTTTTTATGTTATATTTAAAAAGTTAATTTATATTTACAAGATTTTTTTCTTTATATTTCGAGCTCACTATTTGTGAAGTCCGTATCTACATTCTTTAAATTTCATATCCTAACATCTTATAATTAAATCCTAAAAGAAATGGAAATCAAATATGCTATTGAGTATTGATCCTATAAAATCTTGAAACCAAAATATACCTAAAGACCCTCTTTATACCTAATGTTTACTATCAACTCACTATAAATAATCTTCCACCACGTAAAACATTTTACATAAACTAAAAGGCAAAATGGCTATTGTTACGGCAAACGAAATCACTTTGGTGAACACCCTCAAACCATTTTAAAATACTAGGAAGATCATGAATGCAAAGTTTTGCATTCATGCACTAAACACTCATTTTATTCTGGTGGAGACTATCTTGAGTTCATACTAGCAAATAAGACAGTAAGTGTTAGAATTTTTAACAATTTTTATTTATAAAACTTATACTGTAAACGTCTAACTGTTATGATTATATGTTAATGTAGGGTGCTAAGATACACTTTATTTTATCTTATCAATTTATCAAATACTTTTTTGTTGACCTGCTGCGTTTTTAAAAATATACATAAATGAAACTTATAAAAAAATAACCTTCTGAACATTTGAATAAGCACATTATTAATAAAAAAATATAAAACAATTTGCACCCCTAAAATTAGTGAATATACAATTTATTTAAAATAAATAATTTTGTAGAAAGTAAATTAGAAAAATATGCACTTAAAAAAAATCAACTCCTTAGTTGTATAAACTAATAGGAAGATATTACAATCAGTAACCAATGTAAACCAACCAATTAATTACATATATGAAAATCTATACTACTAAAACCTAACACCATATACAATCTAACTACTATATTTAAACACACACCAATACTATACATGTAGAGATATATTATATCCAAATAAATATGTTTTCAAAATATAAACCACAAATTTTATAATCATATAATATAGAATCA